ATATCTCGTGGTTTAACCTACCATCGTATCCAATGATCTCTAGAGAAGGACATGACACAATATGTTGGCAGTCCCCAGAAAGAGGGAACTTTTATCAATGTTCTTGGTAATCAAGGTAGAACACTATTTTAAGTTTGAACAATAAAAAAACTGTGATTAATCCTTTAAAATAGTGAGTTTAATATTTGCTCATCAATTTAAATTCTTTTTTGCTGAGCAAATAGATAACCTCTCTAGTGTTTTAATAGAAATGGGTGCAAATAAGCTAGCCATGGGTTCAAAAGTGAGAATGCCAAAGTAGAATCCAGCACAAGGCCCAAAAAGAACCAAGGAAGCTAAATTGAAAAAAGCCCAGTCTATTGGGACCTAAAGCCACTCTATTGGATCACCTTGGTACTTCATTTTCAAATAAAATCTGATGGAAACTCTGCCCCCAAGTAAATAAAATATGTGCATTAATGGAGATTGCAGAAGATCTTTGAAAATATCAGGTTCCAATTGATGAAATATTTAACCAAATTGGTTAGACAAGAAATTTTGGGAAGATTTGGTTCTAATTTTTATTGAGCTCAATTCTCATTGATTTTGTGCAAGTTTTACACACCCAAAATTGTTAGAAGATTCATTATGAATAGGTAACCCTTTCTAGTTCTTTTACATTTCATATATTCTTTCTCTTTTGTTGTGTGAGTTCTCCTCTTAGTCATAAGTATCATCATGTCTTTATCAAAATTATGTCAATCTGAAGACACCTCTTCAAGAAGACTTTTTGTAGAGGGGATTTTGGCAAGAACTCAAAAAGGAAATATGATAACCAACCAATAAGTGATTGAAATACCCTTTATGGAATAAAGCTTTATGAGGAGTTACAAATTTTATATCCATATATGTCAAGGGTCTCTAAGTGAAATACTCATTAAGGTACCTGATCAAAATTTTCCAAATATTGTGAAAGAATTCTACTAAAACTTATCGATTATTATAACATCTTTAAAGTCAAATATGGAAGGAATTGATATTGAAATCAATAAGGATTAATTTTGAATAATGTTTGAGACACCATTTCCAAAAGGGGTTTCTTGCAACTACGATTGAACAATGCAATTTAAAAGTTCAAGCGTTATATCGCCATCTACTCCTTCGGCAAAAATATTATGAAGGATTAGATGCTTCCTATATAGCGAGCTTGATGAAACAAAAAGTGTGTTCACTACCTATTCATAAGGATACTCCTTCTAAGAAACATAAACCTCAACATGGTTATCAAGAATGATATCATTCCCTTTTGGCTCCTAACCCAACAATTTCCAACTAATAGGGTTAAATGAATACTTCTTCACATGAACCACTTCAAACAAAATTAAGGAGTAAAACTTCCATATGGGGCTTTGATCCCTAAAATCCTGGATGCCTTTGTAATCGATACTATAGGAGAAACACTAGAATCATCAATTAATAAGATTTACTACTCCTCACTTAGAAAGATGAAGATCACATTCAACATGGAGAATTGAGACCCGATTAGATAGATGGATGAGAAGATTTGGAACAACCAGACACATAAGACTTAGTGATAAACAATGCCTTGGAGATATGTCAACAAAGTGATCTAGCCATATAGAACCTAGTCAAATATGTTTATGAGATCAAGAAGAAAATCTCAAAGAATGGTATTACTTATGGAAACAAGTAGTCTCACCTAAGTGTCTTAGTTTCTAAGTGTGTTTTCCTTTTTATTTTTGCCTTATTTCATTTCATACAATTTCCCTACTTTTATGTACTTTGAATTCCAGTATAATTTGATTAAATAAAGTTTGTTCTTTTTCCGTTCTAAATGACTATGTGTCTGCATATTTAAATGTATGCCTTTCATATTTACCAACTTTTTTATTATGAAAAAGAAGGATAAGTGTACTCTCGGGGGGGGGGGGGGGGGGGGGTAGAGTATACTCTATACTCATTTGAGAGGAATTTTAAATACTCTAATTTTTATCTATCTATATTTTTTACTACCTCCCTTAGATATATGTTGTCATCATAACAAATGAGGAGAATGTTGAACTATGTGCTTGTAGTTCTAATCAGGAAGTGATCAAAGCTAAGTAAGTCCTATATAGACCTATCATGGTTTTGATCATGAAAAATGATGATAACTTAAACATAAAGCATAAATACAAGAAACAATTTCAAACTGTCAAATTGCACAAGACAATTTGGAGAAGCTCTTCCTCTGAATCAAGCTGATGAGCTAGGTGAAACAGGAATCCAGAACATAATCATTAGAACAAATAGTCATTATCTGATCATAGTCACCATCTATACCTGTGATAATAATATTTCCGTCCCACTCACGGGTGAAGACTAGGTCAAGGTAAGGCAATGGTAACTCCAAATCACGGGTTCTCTTGAGAGTACTATCATCGTACACCTACGTGATGATGATAACGCCTCATTAAAACCTCCTATGAGCGTGGACGACAAAACCGTCTAGGGTAATCTACATCCCCTATCCGCCGTGTTCCACTTTATTCCTAGTGTTCTTGTGTTTGTAACTTGGCTTGGGTATTGGGCCTTTTACCTCTTGTAACACCCACCCAACAAGAAACACATCCAGTACAACAGTAGCATACGGAAAATAGTAAAATACAATGCATACATATGCTCAGGTATATACAAAATTAATAAGTCATAAAGCATATAAATAAACACCCAAAGAGAAGAAAATAAGAGCTAGGAGCGACTCCGAGGCATTTGGTCGACCTGTCCCTAGTGAAGTCGCCAACTGAAACAACTGGCTGAGAATCGTCAAACAATGAAGTCGCCATCAAACGTCTTTTATCCCACATGGAGGGAAAGGTAAACATCGAGAAAACCTGAGAAGGGAGAAGTCACGTTCTTGCGACTGAGAGATCGGGTAAGTGAGTCTGTTACACGAGGGGATGGTATTAGCACCCCACACGCTCGTAGTAATCTATGGTATTCACTTTTGTTAACTATCCTATCAGTGTGTATAAACTATGCTCATTGTCTACTACTGCTAAAGGAGAATGCATGCAAAAGAAAGGAGAAAATAATGTAGGGAAAATAAAGTTTTACTAGCTTGGGCCCTACCCCAATGCCCACGTAACCTTTTTGAGGAATCAGAGCTACCATAGTTTGGCACACATGTTTTTGTTTGTTTTGTGTTTTTTATGCAAGATGTTAATTCTGCCTTCTGTCGCAGCTCGACCTTTGGAGACTTATGTGTTGGCACATAAGTAAATTAATCATGTCCTTGCTTGAAAAGGTTTCGAGTTACGCCCTCGAGGCAAGATGCCACATTTGATTTGTTTGTGTTTTGTTACCTTGAAAAAGGGTTTAGGTTGTTAGCATGTTTTATGATTTGCTAAAGAAAAGGTTTTAGTTTTAAATGCAAAGATACAAAGGGGGAAGAAAAGAGTCTAAGAGAGACTAGCCTATTTCTAACCTAATGTTATCATACAATGGTAGCCCTACGTCAAGGATGAAATGGGAATATCTACCTAATATTAGCATGCATGGCTTGCAACCTAAAGTCTAGCTTGCATCCGAAGGGAACAACCACATCCTAAGGGAACATGGTATGTACAAGGATAAAGAAAACACGCTAATAAGCTTAAGAGAGCACACCTAGAGAGATCCTATCTAGGTTAGCATGCCAAAGAAAGTCTAACAAAACTATCTTATAGGGAACATGCAATGAGATCGAAGTCGTGATCTCAATTTCTAAATTGAGTGACTCATTGATCAACAAGAAATAAAGGAAGGCGATAAAATCCTATAGGGAGCATGAACTGAGAGTGAAGTCGTGATCTCAATTCCTAAATTGATCGATCAACAACCAAAGAAACAAACACAAGCACAACACATATAGCAAATGAGGTGCGGAATGCCTGCTACGGGTCTTTAAACAACGACTTCGAGCACACGCTCTTTATTTCCTACTTCTCATGGTATCTAGAAAAGCGGTAAAGTGCGGAAATGAGGAATAAAACTGAATTTGCAATGATACTGAATGGAGAAGGTATGTTGCCTCTATAAAGTCACACAAGCAATAAGAAAACTCTACCAAAAGCTTCTATGGACTTTGAGGAAAATAACTCTTAATTTACTTTGAAACCTCTGGAACTCTTTAACAACATCAATGCACAATTGTGGCAACATGTAACATGGACCGGGAACCATCATCATACACAAGTGGCATCAAGATTTCTCAAGTAAGGATCCAAAAATTAGCACAGTATTGACTATTAAAGAAATCTAACTAAATCCCTAGAAATCCCCCAATATTTCCTACTATTTCTCATGTGTTACTTTATCATCCAATAATTTCTCTAAATTAATGGCAATAAGAATTTAATAGAAAACACACGAAATCTTATACAGAGGGGGTGTATGATCGGGAACTGGAGGCATAGAGCAGCAAGCCAGAATGATGTCTTAAGCCCATCAAGATAATCAACCCTTTTTTGTTCAAATTCTTCAAGCTTTCAAAAAGCATTTGCGATGGGCCTTGGCAATGGATGTGTGGTTCAGCCCTTGGATCCAACAAAACGTCACCAATTTTTAGCATATCCTCACATTTTTATATTTATTATTATCCAAAGAAAATCTAAAATAATAATATAAAAAGTTAGGAATGAAAAGAGGAGTTAGGGTTTAGAATCACATGGATGTTCAGCTTCTCCGAAAATTCGTTTGTCTTCCTCTTAGAAACACAACAGCGCGACACTCTCTTTCTCCCTTAATGGTATGGCGCTTGTCTTCTTCTCTTCCGATTCAACCTTTCCATGAACCGCCACCATCTCAATGTCTCTGTTCAACCTTCAGCTTCCTCTAAACTCTTCTCGAATTCAATTTTTGTCTCCGCTTCTACTCTGAGTCGATTCAAAAGATGGAACCTAAAGGCTTCGAAGAAGGAGAATGATACTGAAGCAGTGTCTTAAGATTCCCGTTCAAGCTTTGACACAGTATTAAAGAAGATGCAACAAAAGGCGAAAGAAATTGAAATCGTACCGACCAGAGAAAGTCCAGAGCCTGATTCAAGCCGTCGAGGAGAAGGGAATTCTGAAGTTAAACCTAGGTATCACTTTAATCTCATAATTCTCTCATTTCATTCTTCATCTCTTCTCCTTTTTGTTTTTGTATCATTGTAATTTTGTGCAAATTGAAGTTTGTTGTATGATGTCATGACAATTGACGATTGAATCGTCATGATGTTTTTGATGCAGCATTGAAGGTGAAGATTGATGATGTTGTTATAGTATATTGAAGAATGAAAGATGAAGATGATGAACGTTGTGGGAAGATTACAAAAAGAGTGAAGATTTCCACGAATTGAAGGTTCGGTTCCGAGAAGATGAAGGTTAAAGATGCTTGAAGCATAGATTTCAGAGAGAGTTTCTTGAGAGGTTTTCTTGGTGAGTTTTTCTACTGATTTTTTCTGTGTGAATCTTCAAAATGTCCATAATCAAGTCGAATCTGGTGAGTTTTCTGTTACTGAAATCTCTTCTCTGCCTCCGTTATGTTATCTGCTATAGGTTTGTTTGCAGTTCTGTTGAGAAGTTTATTGAATGAGTTTTGATAAAATAGCTAGGAGTGAGTTGGACTGTTAGGACATAGTTAGGGAAGTTGGTTATAGGTTAGAAAAACAGTTCAATAATTTTGTTATGTGTCAGTTTTGACAGTTAGTTATGGTCAGAGGAGTGAGAGTTAGTTACATTCTATTTTATTACTTCTATTGTAACAGTTAAGAGGCTTTTTTCTGTTACAGTTCAGTTACCGGTTGTAGTTTTAGTTGTTAGAAGGCTAGCTTCAATTCTGTTATTTAGAAGTTCTGTTTTTTTACATTGGGTTAGGAAGTAGTTAAAAATTGGTTCTGTTATGGACCGTTTGCAGGGAGGTTTAGTTTTATTGGTTATGGACTGACTTTGCGGTCTTTTCTGTTGGTTCCGGTCAGAAACTGTTAGGGAATTCTGTGTTAATGAGCTGGCAGGTGATGTGCAGGGTAGTTAGGATTCTGTTATGCTGTTTTCAGTCTTTTATTTGTAAAGTCAGTTAGTGTTTTAAGTTGCAGGAAGTTTGTTAAGATTTTGTTAGTTTGTTAGGAGTAGTTAGGAAACAGTTGGGGTTGTTGAAATCTGTTTTTGTTTTTCTGTTGGAATGTTGTTTGGAGTTTTGTTTTCACATTTTGAATTGGCTGCTGACTTCTGGAATGCCACCGTCCCCACTTTATTATGAGCTTTTTGTTTTCAAATATTTTTTCTTCTAAACAGGATACGATTATGAGTTAGTTAGAAGTGAATCAATTTTGAACCATTAGATCTGAGACTTATGTTAAAGAAACAATGAGAGATTGAGCTGGCCTGACTTTATTTCTTCTTAATTCTCTTCTTGATTTTCTTTTGTTTTTTTTCGAAACTGATGTTGGGTCAGTATAGTTTACTCTTATATGACTGTCTTCTTCCCTTTTGATTTTTTTTTTGTCGTGAATATTGTGCAGGATTATAACTTGGACGATTTGTTTTCAACTATATTGATGTAGGATTGGCTTAAAGCAAACTTGTAACTGGTTAGTGTTTGATGTAAGCCTGATATGGTGCCCAGTTCCGGTAGCAGGTGGACGGTTTGATGTTGATTGGATTCGTTCTTGTTAATGCAGTACAACATTGAGTACAACAGTGGAGTTGTTGTTGATGTTTGAACTGTTTTGGGTTTATGCACCATATGTTTGGATTTGCATTGATTTAGAAGATTAGGCTTAGGACTAAATTTCCATGTAAAATCTTATGAAGGACTTGTAATGTATTTCGAAACTTGAATGTGATTTGGATGAATCTTGAATTTTGGGTAATGACCTTTGATTTTGCAGTGGTGAAACATGATATCATGTACTCGTTTAGAAATTTTAGACATAAATAGAAGCTGCTTGAGACTTATAACTGTAATTGAATAAAACATCCCAAATAAAATCTTGAGTAAGCTTGAATCCAAGAATTTAAATGAAACTTGGAGTTTTGGAATATTAATCCACTTTCCAAACTTGAACCAGAATGAACACTAGAGTGCAATTGGAATGAATGAAAATGTCCCGCCCTTTGAATCTTGTTTCTGGCATCCGAAATGAGCCATGAATTATTTTCTACATTGTAATAATTTTTGATTCTCTTGATAAATCCTCAACCCCTGGCTTCAATTCTCCACAACCAAATTATCTTGCAATTCGATCCGCCAGTCATATTAACTTGAAAACCAATTACCTCACAACAAAATTAAAGTCTTTGAGGAACCCAAGACTTGACGTATAGACCACCATAATAAAACACTAATCCATACTTCACTGCTTGTAAAAGTAACCAAAAGAATCAAAATTTATTGAACATATACACTGTTGATAAAACCCTAATCCTATTCATGAACATCAATCCCATACTAAATTTATCGATTAATGATGCATGATGTGTTAGCTGACCTAATGAAGATTATATACATGAGAAAATGCGAGATGCATAAGCCAGATAAAAGTGAAAAGGTATGACAAATTTGGGGTATTACACTAGAGTTTAATGATCTATATGATAGCCTATGATGATTTCATATGACTTGGAGATATCTCAAGCCTCATCTCCAATAAGACTCAAACAAAGTGCTCATATGATTGGTGTATTCAGCAAAGTCTTAAAGCTTTAGAGTGTGAAAGAGAGAATATGTGAAAGCATACGCGGTCATGTGTGAGTGATCAGTGTTTTGTAAAAACACAAGGGTTTTTTTTTGTAAAGTATTATGGATAAATCACAAAATCACTAAATTTTATTGAAGCCTCTATTTCTCAAAGAAAATTTTATCTCTCATTTCTTTCCAAAATGCGCATTTATAATCGATTATTTAGGTCATCCAATTGATTGGAATAAGAACCTAGTCGATTGGACTGATAATTTTTCTAATGTATAGTTTCCTTCTTTGGTCCAACCTTTTCCCCATAAATAAAGGCCTATCCATTCTCTCTAAAATATTTTATCTTTCTCTCACATCAATATATCCATAGTGCTTAGAGAAAGGTTCTTATGTTTAAGTGAAGAAGTTTGTTCTAGAAAGGATAATCTTGTAAATTCACCAAGAGAACTTTTTCCTCTTGAGTGAATATCTCTTTATAAGGAAGTGTTTATTTGGGTTCGAATCTAAACCCGTTAAAGATTTGGTTTGTTTATTTAGTATTAAGTCTCTATTTGGTTTGTGAGATGACCCACTTAAAGAAAAACTCTCTTTCCTGGTTCTTGACGATAACTAGTGAAAAAGTTTCTAATCAGTTCTTGAACTCAGCTTTTTGTAAAAGCTCTATTGGTTCGAGATCAACCTGGTGTAAAATCTTGGTTCAGTTTAGAGGATAACCAATTTAAAATTCCACATTGGTTCAAGATAAACCTGTATAAAATCTCTGTTTAAGCTTGGAGACTAACTGCTCAAATCTTCGTTTGTGTTTGTTAAGAAGACTAATCGCTTCAGTCCTCTTATGTGTGAAGTCACATGTCCAACTAGTGACTTTAGAGCATAAATCCTATTCAAAGACTAATTGCTCAGGATGAAGATGACTTCTAACACTTTTAATAAGAGATCATTCCTAAGCACACTTTCACTGTTTAATGGTGATAGGTCTGAACTTTGGAAAACTAAATTTAAAATCTTAATTCAAAGTTTTGATTTTGAATTGTGGAAACGATAATCAACTGTTCATTGATATGTACTCACCACATAAATGGAGAAGTAATATATAAACCTGATTTCCTTTGGACCATAGAGGAAAAGAGAAAGTTTGAAATTGATTTCGAGACTAATAATTTTCTAGTTATGTCTTTAGATGATAATCACTTCTTATATGTTCATAATTTCAAATCCACAAAGAAAATATGGGACACTTTTGAGATGATATATGGAGTTTCTCCAAATATTGAACAAGAGCGAATGAACACACGAGGCAAAGAAGATGAATATTTTATTCATAAGTGGCTCTCTAAATTTAGAAATGTTTATAATAAGGTTAAAATGTTTGTCACTAACAAATATCTAAAAATACAGATTTGAGATTTAAAAAAATTGATCCAACCTTTAAATCAAGAGATGTGAGTGTTCACGACTTTTAGGAAAAATCGAAGTAGAAAGAAATTATAGAAAAGTTGAACCAATTAGTTCAATTACTTAGAAACGAAATACATAAGCTCAAAACTTTAAGAATCCTTAACAACTTAATCAAAGTCCTATGATGCAACTATTGTGATTTCTTTCGAAAAACAGTTTTAATAGTTAAACAATTTCCGGAAGATTCAACATCAAATAAAACAATTTATTTGTAGGAAGATGTGAAGAAAAAACCTCATCCAATAAAATCTGAAAGAAGAAAGGAGAATAAAACCTCTATAAATATGAATGTAATTTTTTCAAATATTTATGTCCAAAAAAGTTTTAAACCCTTCTAAATCTTTTTTTTTTGTCTTTTTATAAAATAGTATGTTTGACTATTTTAAGAATGGTAATTTAATTTTAAGAATATTTTATTAAATTTTTTTAAAAGGAATTTAAAACAAAAAATGATATATTTATAAAGATGAAAATTTCAATAGAGCAAAATTTTATGTAAAAATAATGAAATTATTTTAGAATCTCAACAAACTTTTGTTTAATAAAAATTTGAAAGGCATGGAATTCAATATGTATAAAAAAGCATTTGAGATTTCTTTAACCTATATAAATTTCCAAACAAACAAATTAAAGGTTGGTAATTGTTAGTAGTATGAATCCAACAAAAAGCATGTGTGAACTAATGAGAAATCGTGTTGTAAGGTTCAATTTTGTCGTTTCAATTTCGGTCAAGCCAACAACATGTAATTTTATTACATTATTATTATTATTATTTTAGGAAAGCTCACACGTTTACAATTTTAGTACCACTCTACACTCTAATTATTTAAAAGTCAAAGAGGATCCATGCATTCATGAAAACGAATATATCGGATGAAATATTTTAATTCAACTAGATTCTATAGGACATAGAGGCGACTTGCTAGTGAAAGTGATCATTTGATTGGTCTTTGAGTTTGGTTTTAAGTATCTAGTGAAATCCAAAATAAGATATTATAAAATATAATTAGTATCTTATTTAATTCTAAAATACTACTTTCTTTGATTAAAAAATAGTAATAATTAATATACAACTATTTTTGTGTAATCTTAAGAGGTGTGTCACTCGATTAAACGATTTTATCATCTCGGTATTGGTTATGAAGTAATGTTGTAGTATTTTGTTACTCTTATTATCTCTGAGATAGTGATCATATTTGAATCTCATATTTAAAGACTGGTTGGATTAGTATCTACTTCATAACATTGTTATAGTATTACAAAAAATAAATTTTATTTGGGTTGAAAAAATGAATTTATTTTGGTTTTTCAGCGAGCTAATGAAAAGTGTCATGAAAATTCGTTATTTTACACCACGGTTGTTGTTCCACCAAGAGATAAATTGTAATGGTCATTGGTTTAATTTCCAACAACATAGTTTATTTTTATTTTCAAAACCATAAAGCGTGCGTCATATACTTCTCGAGTTTTGTTAATATCTGAGAAAAAAAAGAAAGTATTTATGTCTATTTGAAATTAAAATCGAGGGGTAAAATCTATTTTTTTCACTTATATTTTGTTTTATATCTCAATTTGACTTGCCTGTATTTTTCACGAAAATATATAAAAAATTTGGGACAAAATCATAATATTTTAATTTATAACAGAACATGACTAAAAATATATACAAAATATCAAATTACATTGTTTATAAAATCAAATGTACACATGTCCAAAATAGTACACCAAGAGAACCTATATATATATATATATATATATATATATATATATATATATATATATATATATATATATATATCTATTTGAAAACAGGACCATATAATGACAAAATCAAATACATGTGTAACTGAAAATCTATACACAATGTTTATAACAACTAAGAAAAACTAGTGTTGTTGAGATTCAAAAAAAAAGATACACTACGCCAAAAAAGACTTACGAAAGCGCTTTTTTTGGCCTTTAAAAGCGCTTAAAAGCGCTTTCGTAGGTGGCGCTGCTATAGGTTTTATCAGCGCTTTTTGTTTAATGAAAAGCGCTTTCGTAGGTCTACCTAATACAATGCTTTTTTATGAAGAAGCACTTTCATAGGTCTACCTAAGGCAGCGTTTTTTTCTGGAAAAGCGCTCTCATAAGTTTTCTTTTAGCATCGCTTTTTTCTGGAAAAGCGTTGTCTTAGGTAGGCTTTTAGCAACGCTTTTTTCTGGAAAAACGCTTTCATAGGTGGTCTTTTAGCAGCGCTTTTGCCTGGAAAAGCGTTGTCATATGTTTACCTTAGACAGTGCTTTTTGTGAAAAAGCGCTTTCATATGTTACCTAAGACAGTGTTTTTCTTGAAAAAGCGCTTTCATAGGGTATTTTTTTTAGAGGTATAATTTATATAATTCATATACCTGCATTGTTTGCAGCATATTATTTATATAAACCAGTTGCCATAACCTGTAATTCATAAACCGCGGTAATGCATTGTATACCATTGTAATCCAAAATATATATACACCATTTTTGTACCTCAAAATATATAAAAA